AGCATAAGCGAGCGTTTCCTCTGGCTCTGGGCCAGGGCTTCCCTCTAGCCCCGTTGTCCCTGGGACATAACCCCCTCCTTAAGATGCCTTGGGGTGCTGCTTTGTCTCCCCTCCGGGTCGTACCTGTGGGGTCGGTCCGTCCTTGCACTGGATCCTTTTGGTCCCCGGTCTGGTCTTCATTCCCACACCTAGATAAGAAGTCCGCCACGGTATTGGTTTTCCCGGGTCGGTATATGACACGGAATTTATACGGTTGGAGCGCTAATGCCCACCGGCTGATCAGAGCATTATCGGACTTGGCTGTACTTAGCCACTTCAGCGGGGCGTGGTCTGTCACTAGTGTAAACTCCCTGCCCATCAGGTAGTACCTGAAGTAGTGCACTGCCCACCGAACTGCTAGGCACTCGCGCTCAATAGTGGCATACCTTTTCTCTGCCGGTAGTAGCTTGCGGCTCGCGTATGCCACGGGTCTTTCGCCCCCACCCCCATTTTCCTGGGTGAGGACTGCACCCACCGCAGTCTCTGAGGCGTCCGTCTGCAAAATAAAGGGTTTTCGGAAGTCAGGGGTATGAATTATGACGTCTTCGCATAATGCCCTCTTCAACTTTTCAAAACTTTGTATCATTTCCTTAGACCACCTGACTACTCCCGTTTTCCGCCCTTTGAGGGCTCCCGACAGGGGTGCTGCCAACTCTGCGAAATGGGGTACAAATCGCCTATAATAGTTGGTTAGTCCTAGGAAGGACCGTAACTGGCGACAATCTTGCGGGGCTGTGAAGTTTCGGATGATTTCCACTTTGCCGGCCAAAGGTTTAATTGTGCCCCTGCCAACCAAGAATCCCAAATATTTGGTTTCTTTCTGCGCTAAGGCGCACTTTCGAGGGTTTGCGGTTAGGCCGGCGTGCCTCAATTCTGTGAGGATGGCCCGAAGGGTGCTCTTGTGTTGCTCCCAAGTTCGGGTGTATACGATGATATCATCTATATACGCCACTGCATATTCGGTGTGGGGCGCCAGGATCCAGTCCATCAGACGTTGGAATGTTGCAGCGGCGCCGTGCAATCCGAAGGGCATCCTAACAAATTCGTACAGCCCCCACGGGGTGCCGAATGCCGTCTTCAGCTGGTTTCTCTTGGCTACCGGAATCTGCCAATATCCCTTGGCCATGTCAAGGGTCGATATATACCGTGCGTCCCCTATCCTTTCTACCAGCTCTGCCACGTGGGGCATGGGGAAAACTGCCATGGCATTCAAGCACCGGTAGTCCACACAAAGTCTTAACGATCCATCCGGCTTACGCACTGGTACCAGTGGGCTTCTCCAGGGACTTCTAGAAGGCCGAATAACTCCTAGTCACAACATGGACTCATCTTTTTTACGGACGGTTTCTAGGAGATGGTGGGGAATGGGTCGCCACCTCTCCCTCACTATTGCCCCAGGGGGCGTTTTTATGGTGTGGCACACGTTTCGAACCCAGCCGGGCTCTTCGCAAAAGACCCCTCTGAATTCGTTTATCAGGTTTCGGGCCTCTCGCTGTTGTGCAAAAGTTAGTTCCTCCCCCAGCCTGACCAGGGTATTTTCTGAAGAAAGTTCCGCCCCTCGGTGTCCTAGGTCCTCGTCCTTGGCTTCGGAAAAGGCCGCCCATCCCTCGGGTTCCTGCCACTCCTGAAGCAGGTTTACGTGATAGATCTGTTTCTCCCGAAGGTGTCCGGGTCTGTGAACCTCATAATCCACTGGCCCCACCCGTCGGAGGATCTCGAATGGCCACTGCCATTGCGTTAGGAGCTTACTAGTGGACGTGGGGAGCAATACCAGGACTTTCTGCCCCGGCTCGAATTCTCGCTTCTTGGCCCGGCGATCATACTGGCCTTTTTGGCGGGTTTGGGCTTCTCTTAGGTTCTTGTGGGCCAGGTCCCGGGCCAATCTGATTCTCCTTTGGAACGTCTGCTGGTATGTCTTCGGCTCCTGGGAGGGTTCTTCTCCTTGCTCCCATTCTTCTCTTAGAACCTGTAATAGGCTCCGCAGGCAATGCCCTAACACTAGTTCAAATGGTGAGAATCTTGTGGATTCTTGGGGGGTGTCCCTGAGAGTGAATAGTATTAGGGGGAGGAGGAGGTCCCATTTCTGGGGATCCCCCTGTATGCACCGGCGCAATGCCCGTTTTATGGTGCCGTTAAGGCGTTCTACCAGCCCATTGGTCTGGGGATGGTAGACCGAGGTGCGGAGCTGCTTTATCTGAAGGGTCTGGCATACCGCTCTTAGAACCCCGGACATGAAATTTTTCCCTTGGTCTGTCAGGATCTCTTGTGGGATCCCC